CCCCACTTTTTTGCAAGAACGGAACAGCACCGAAACATAAAGAAATAAAAAGAATAGTCACGTTTAAATCCCATTGAAAGTGAATCAATAGCAAAGAATTTATGTCCTAAAATATATTATTTTAAAAAGAATAACGAATTGGAAAACATGAGTTTCTTCCAAAGCAAATAATCAATATCCCCATGTAGTTAATTTCCTAAGCCCAGCTGGATTCCATTCTGCACCATATGGTTGTTAGCTTACCCGGAAAAGCAATTATGAGTTATATTTGGACCCCCTGGTTTGGACTAATTCTCCACTAATAGGTCAATGACCTCCAAGTCTCTGTTCTCCAACTGGGGAACAAATGTAAGTGACGCGGCGGGGTGAAATCAAGCTCTCGTCCAAATAATCAAAATGAAGAAATTAGCTTTTTCTCCGCAGGTTTGTGAATTTTAAACTCAAATATCGTTATTTTGTCTGAACACTTTTCAAGCCCATTTAAGAACTCATTTCAATGTGGATTTTACCGAAAAACGTTGATTAAGGGCACACAAAAATGAAGGAACATTTTCAGTTTCCACCGACTATCAAGCTAAGGAAATAACTCATCTTTTTCGGTCATTTCCTCACCAATTTTTCCTCTGAAAACAGATGACCCCGCCTCCTTCATTGGCAAATATCTCGATTTGTATTCAAGATAAATGGATACTTTTCATTGAAATAAAGACAAGGGAACAAGCTTTAAGATGATACCAATAACTCTACATGCACAAAAATTGACGAGAGCCTGATTCCATCGAGTCGGAGCTCATAATATTATGACGTAACAGTTCTGTTTTGTTCTTTCGAATACTCGAAAGAGGAATATCTTGAAGATAGTGGATGATACATTTATAGATAAATAGACTGCTTGAAGAATAGCTAACTGATACATAGACATAATTGTAAAAATATTATAGATAGACAGATAGAGAAGGAGAGAGAGATAGATAGATAGATAGATAGATAGATAGATAGATAGATAGATAGATAGATAGA